TGTATGTATATTGGTGTAAGCGCATACACTTTGTTGATGAATACTTTCATCTACGTAGGATATTAAATGTCTACATCTATGCGTTCAGACAGATCCGGAATGAATCATATTGGCCCAAAAAGAATCATGATGAATGGCTGCCAAATCCAATGCTTCGCAGAAGTCCAAAGGATCGACTTGAGTCCACTCGTATTCATACCAGTATGGATTTCCATGCTAGAGATAGAGGTCAAGTAAAGATATGCAGATTATGTAGGGGTGAAGGCCATTCAAAAAACAATTGTCCTAATTTACCAAGATATAGGCCTCATCATTAGTAATCATATATGTATTTCTATGTATTTATCCGGATTTAATTTTGTAATTATTTATAATTCGAGGACTTGAACAGATTTGAATGGACGTGTGGTTCAATTAACATCATTTTCGTTACATAACTAATACTCATCCATGGAACACTTGTTTGATTTGTAATAATGATATGATTTGATTTAGTAATGATTTGGTAATCATGATTTAATAATAAATTTATACTTAAAATTATAATAATTATTTAGTAATGATTAGTAATAATGAAATTATTATTAATATTTAATGATTTGATAGTAATAATTAGTAATGATTTTAATATTATGATTTAATAATGATTTAGTAATAATCATTATAATAATTATTTAATAATGATTTAATAATGATTAAAATATTTAATGATTTGATAATAATCATTATAATAATGATTTAGTAATAATCATTATAATAATGATTTAATAATTATTAAAATATTTAATGATTTGATGATTTAGTAATGATTTGAAATAATCATTATAATAATGATTTAGTAATAATCATTATAATAATGATTTTAATATTTAATGATTTGATGATTTAATAATGATTTGATAATAATCATTATAATAACGATTTAGTAATAATTATTATAATAATGAATTAATAATAATGATAATAATGATTTAATAGTAATGATTTAATAATGATTTAGTAATGATTTTATAATAATGATTTAATACTAATGATTTAATATTTATTACTAATAATTATGGAATAATAACAAATGAGTGTACAAGTGTGGACTACTCAAATTTAAATTTATACATAGTCGAATTTATTAATGATTTTTAAATATTTAATGAATTGATATTAATGTTTTACTAATTATTATTAATAATGATTTATTATTAATATTTAATTATTTGATACTAATGATTTACTAATAATTACTAGTAATGAAATTATAATAATGATTTGATACTAAAAATCATTGTTAAGGTTAAAAAACTAGTCTAATTTCAATATATAATTTGTAACAAATAGCAAACGAGTTTACAATTGCTGTCGATGCCGGGGTGTTGTTGAATGATAATGTCGGGGCGGACGTCTGATACGTTGTGACCATTGCGGTTGCTCAGGAGTATGGTACCCATCCTCTTCATTCATTGGGGGCATTTGAACTGACATGTGTTCAAAGTCATACGTCGACGAAAACATAGGAGAATAGATGGGCGCCTCAGGCTGCACAAACTCTGGTATGTATGCCAGGACAGTAGAATCATCAACTGCGTGATGCAACGATCCCGCATCGCCGAACGGTTGTGGTGCATTATTATCCACATCGGTCATTTCCGCTTCAGGTTGTTGAGATGAACTCCCACTCCCACTCGGTAGAGAGTATTCAGCTTTATCAAATCTTTTCTTAAACCTCAAAAATTGTCGCCTCTCTACCATTGTTGTGAGGAACGACTTTCTATTATCTCAAAAATAAGCAAGGTAAGCCGAAGTCTCAAAATTAAAGTCGTCGTCTTGAATGTCGTCAAGAGTTGGCATGAATGAAGCCCTATTGTTCCAAGCATTAATGTAGGTTGCATGCTTCTCAACCCAATTAACATTTTCTTTACGCCGACCATCAAATATGTGCAGGTCTTCATGCGTCTCAACCCAATTCACCTGACGACGACCATCTAAGTTTTGGAGGAGGTCATGATCCCATGGACTTCTCGGAATAGGTTGGTGGAAGTGGAATTGCCTCGGCACTCTATCCCCAAATTGGATCTCAACAAAAGCAAAATTGATCAATGGTGTAACAGCACACCAATATTGAAACTCATCTAAAATATCGTGAGGTATCAACGCAAAAATTTATTCATTCATGTATGGTCTCCAATTAAACTGTAAAATTACAAAAACAATAAAATTGATTTAAATCAAATAATATAGTTAATTTAAATAATAATTATAAATAACATATTATACATACCTCCTTTTTGGCCTTAATATCGATCTTCAGCCTGAACTCTTTAATGTTGTTGTGCACCAACCCCGTGCCTTCAATTTTATGCCTCCATATGTATATCAATCAAAACAAAAATATGACCATTTTGTTCAATAATTTTAATCAAAATAAATATTTTCTAATTACTACTCGAATTAAAATAGAGTATTCATATTACCTTCCGGCAAGTGGAAAGTCAACCGCAGTCCGACTAATCGGTGTCAAAAACGGAAGTCTATGCCAAGCCCATGATTGTAGCAGCAACAGACATCCACCGATTTCTGCTGTATTATTATCATTCACGACTAATGATGCCTTGCACATCTCACGATACAAGAACGTCGATATCTCTGATCCCTACTATATTGCCTACTATTCTCAAAATTTCTTAAAAAATAAGATACTGAGTGTGAACATAACTACCGGATTTATCAGGCATCAAAATTCCCCCAATCAACTGTAATATATATGCTCGTGTTGCATATATAATTTCGTTCTCCGTACTATTTGGTTGAAGCTGAAATTCATTCTTCAACCATGACAACCTCACACGCCACCCTCTGCACTCTGGTGGTACGGGCGTTTTACCAAGAAACAAGCTACAAAGTTGTGCCACATTATTAAACTCATGTGACATTACCACCGGCATCCCATTAGTTTGGACCCCGAGTTGCATTGCTACATCCTCCAGAGTTATCGTACATTCGCCACACGGCAAATGAAATGTGTGTGTTTCTGGTCTCCAACGTTCAATCAACGCACTGATCAAACCTGAGACCAACTTGTAATCTCGCACAAATGTTACATACCAAAATCCAGCCTCTTGCAAGTTTTCTTCTATCAATGGGTGTGACTTAGGCACTTTATGTAGCCGAAGACGAAGGACTCGCTGCTCGTCCTCCTGCAATTAAATATTAGGAAAAATTATCACAATCATCATAAAATAATATTCAAATATTTATTAATTATAATTCATTAAACAAATATTTTATTCACCATTATTACCAAATGACTTGAAAAATGTTCATTGTCAAGTCTCAGTAGTGGAATTTGGTCAACCATTAGAATGAATCTGTAAAAAAAATTAAACGACAATAATTAAAAAATCATTTAATATAATCTAATATAAACTAACTAACTAATTTACAACACAACAAAAAAAATTTAATATAATAACTTATAATATAATAAACTAACAAACTAAACTTTTTAAAATATAAGTTAAACGTAAACGCTAAACCCTTAAACAACTAATAAAATATTCTTTTATATAACTAAAACTAATAAACTATTTATTTTTCATTATAATATACCACTAATTCTTACTAACTAATTTTTTATATAATATAAATTCAACAAACAAATATAACTTAACTATTTAACTAACACAAACTAATTAAATAATTTTTTTATATAACTAACGACTAACAAAACAAACTAATTAATTGTTCCTAACTATATAACTATCAAACATACTAATTAAATAATTTTTTATTTCTGTATAATATATTTAACTTAAACTAACAATCATATAACCCTAAACTAACAAACTAATTAACTGATTTTTGTTTTACCCTAAACCCTAAATTAACAAACTAAAAAATTATAATAATAAACTAATTTAAATAATAAAATTTTACCTCACAAGAGCCTTATCTCCCTTTCTTCTTCTTCCTTTCCTTTCTCCCTTTCTTTCTCGGCTGTAATCTCTTCTCCCTTTCTTTCTTTTATGTTCTCATGTTAACCACCTCCCATATATAACAATGGCTGCCTCAATTATTTCACCAATAATTGTGCAATTCACGGGCTTACTGAAATGGTTCACATGCATGCATCAATAATTGTTGCATGAAGCAGTTGATTTCACGCTGCAATTGCAGGCATGATAACTGCAACGGGGAGCAGGAGGGGACGTGCAGAAATATCACATGGCGAGACAAGGTCGGAGTGCATGGCGACCTAGAAGGTCGCCCGGAGTGCATGGCGACCTACAAGGTCGCCCGGACTGCCTGGCGACCTTCAAGGTCGCCCAGAGGGCATGACGACCTATGGGTTGGGTTGTGCATGTGCCATGCAACACGTTCATTCTCTTGTGAGTTCGTCGGGGAGCTGCCACGTCGTAGGTCGCCCGGAAGGCATGGCGACCTACGGCCAACACTGTGTTTTTGCCCTATTTCAATAATTAATTCCGGGAGTACATTATCTCATGAAATAAAAAATTCGAGAACATTATCTCGAGAGTTCAGCCGTTTAAGTACGACCAGAAAGGTGATGGCGATCAGATCATCATGGAGCAGAAGTAGGAGATGACCAACCAATTAAGCGGGAGGAGAAGCAACAGGAAACGACGGGTAATCATGAGGATGAGTGCCGTCAGAGCAATCGTGGGCCCAAAGGTAAGCACGTTCACGACCCAAAACAAAGCGAACCCACTTGGAGTCAATATCGTGGCACCCGCTCTTTTGGACTCCTTGCCCAAAAAGAAAATTTACAATGGTGCTGTTGTTGATATCGCCTTCGGGGATGTAGTGATTGGTACTAGTGATGTCCGAGGCGGGTGTCTTCGTGACCAGATCGGTACTACCGTTGTCTTGCCAAACACCACCGGGCGGGCTTAACGACGATTGGTACACTGCTGTTACAACCAGCGTCGTGATCACCAGCATGGTGTTGATCATGTCGATCGACATGCAGTACTTCTCGCGGGATGCCTCTACACGACATCTCTCGAAAGGGTTAATTTTCTTTTTAACCGTTTAATCTTGGAATCATCGTCGTCGGTCACGGTGATCTTATTGTCTCCACGTCCTTGGACCTTTTGAATGACTTCTAGAGCCGTCGAATCTTCCCAGTTCTTAGCTTTTACATCCAACAAAATGTAAGAATCTGACATCGTTTCAGTTCCTGCGTCATTAATGGACAATGCAAGTATATGAGAAGTCGATAGTTAATAGCATAATACCAAAAAAATATCCTTACTAAATCATGAGTTAACAAACACTCTAAAATAGAGATATTTTTAATTTAAAATAAAACGTTGGCCGAAATACTTCAGAGAAAAACAAAATAAGAACCAAAGTGAGTCTATATGATCAAACCTCAAAGCCTAAAATAAAATATTTAAGGTGAAAATACTCTAAAAATAATGATCAAAATAACCATTTTGTTAAATGTTGGTTATTAATTTTATGTTATGTCTTAACAAATTTTACCACTTTGGTGAACTTTGGGTCTATACTAATTCAAATTTTAATATCTAGTCCTCATACTTTTGTTAAACCATTAATTGAAGTAGTATAGGGACCACTAGCACATATAAATAGTGGTGGCAGATCAACTAAGAAGTGAGGATATACAAATGTCTCTCCTAAAATTTCAAAAAAATTCAGATAATTTTCTATTTTACTGAATATGCTCGCCTTAAAATACTCAATTATGTATATAAGTTTTATATTGTTAATATATATATATATATACTCTCGAAAATATTTTTCAATCCGCACTCTATTAACCGTTATTTAAATCATAGAGTTGCATTTCATGCACCACTATTTAAATGTAGGAACGAATAGAAAGTAGAAACTGCATATACCTCACGTTGTTCCTTCAAATCTGCAATGTGCAACACAGTGTTGTCATCTTTGTCTTTCTAATTCATCATCTTGTTTTCAAAAGCAAGATGTTCTTAGCATAACTGCTCCTTTGAAGCCATCCCAATTGAAGCTTAAAAGCTTCGACGTCGTCGTGTTTCAGAGAGAGATGTAAAGCAGTCTCGCCTCGGATAGTATCGTCTTCGATGCTTTCGGGGCAAGCCTCGAGAAACTCGAACAAAAGCTTAGAGTTTCCAGTTGTAGCAGCGTGATGGAAAGGAATCATCCCTTTCCATCCTTTGACACGAGCGAGATCTTTAACGGCCTTCAACAGTAGGTGCACCAGCTTGGTCTTCCCGTTTCTCACCGCCAAGTGCATGGATCTAAACCCTTCTCGGTTCAGCTTCTTGGCAAACGAAGGCTTCAAGTTCAGCATCTCCATTGCGAATCAATGTGCCCTTCATTTGCTGCTATATGGAGTGGGGTCTGGATGAAAGGAATCCGGTCAATGCCTTCCAAGATGTATGGATCTTCTAGGATGAGAACGTACAAGTCATCCACGTTTCCTGTTTCAGCTGCTGCTTTCAACTCTGGGTTCATCTCCATGATTCTTTTTTGTGTGGATAAGTTTGAGTTTCAAGAGTAGTATTGGAAGTGACGAAGATGTTTGGAGAGTTGCAGACTAACATCAACTTACTGATGCAGGGGATCCGAGACAGATGATGTTGAGCTGTTAGATTGCACTTAATTGTTGAGATACCATGAATTGGCAGATCAGCGCAAAAGCGGGAATTGATTGTGACATGTTCCTCATTAGGATCGTTTTAAGTATGTTTCAGTCTTTTGGCCATAACTTTGGTTACAGGTGTCAGAATCGCGCATAAGACCCAATCCGAAAAGCTCTTTTCGACGCGCACGCTCTCCCCTTTTTTCAACTTCAAATTCTGCCGTTTTCCCCTCCGAATCATTAGATTTAGATATTTTTACTATTTATGGTAATATTTTGATTGTCAATTAGGAAGTCAATTTAAATCCGATTTAGGCCGGATTTTTTGGAGATTGCTTATTTTATTTCGAATTTCAATTTAGAATGATTTTCGGGATTTTGCTATTTTTGGCAAAATTCGAATAAAGACGATTTTTGGCTATAACAGTCCGACTTGTGGACTGATTTTTGACATTGTTTGATTTTATAATATTTTATTAAACCCTAGAGACTTTTTTCTCTGGTTTTTTTAGACGAATTTTCTCTTATGAATCATCTGTTGGAGCGCCTGCAGAATAATCACTATTCTGTCCGCGTCACTTACATAGCCATCCATCTCAATGCAAAGTTTGATTGCAAGAATATGTACTAATTGCATCACTTGAAGCAAAGAATGATTCTAATTTCTGAGTGACTGTTACGTTGAAAGTAAAGAATTTAATTGTAAGAACATGTTTAGAGTTTGTTGTTGTTCCTTGATGGTAACATTTGTGTAACGAAACACGTTGACAGTTAATCGTTTTTTATTTAGATAGAGAGTAGTAATCGATGTTTTATTGTGGATTTGTGGTCTGGTAAAATAGCCATATAGTCTGATTTTGGAGTTTAGTAAAATATGAGAGAGAGGGAGAAGTAGCCTCTACCTTTCCGTCTATATGTGGTGAGTTATATATGATTTCTTAGGTGCTATGTTTCACGGAAAAGATCATTAGTAAGGAGAATAATTTTTTTGAAAATATGTTTCGATGTTTGGTTCGCAGAAAAAATTATTACTAAGGGGTCGTTTGGTTCATAAAATGTAAGATTATCTTTGGTGATGAGATTATCGGAATGTTACATTAGTTAACATATTACTAAGAATGATGTATTATGTACCTTGTTTGATTTGTTTAGCAATAATGTAATATTACATTGTTTGGTTGAAGGAATATAATATAAGAAAAATATATGTTTTACCAAATTATCTTTTAGATATATTTTATTTTTTAATAAATAGAATTCTCAATATTAGAGTTAACATGTTTATATGAAAGTTCATACAAAATATAATTTTATATTATTTCTAATTTTAATATTTTTAATAAAATTTGTAAACAAATAACTTTATATATATATATTTAATTTTTTATTTCTTTGAAAATATTAAAACATATTTACACAATATAATTTTGTATTTATTTTTAGGTAGTAAAATATTGGGAATTGTACATACTTACACCGGTGTAAGTATATGTTAATTGCTACATTTTTTATTTATACTACACATACTTAAAAATAATCAAAATAAAATAAAAATGATATATTTTATTTTATATGCATCATATTATTTTATAATAAATATTAAACATAAATAAAATATATTTCTACTTGTGTAATTATATACAAAAGAAATTATCATTTTAAAATAATTATATTATTCAGGGGTATTATTACCCAAAGTGGAGAGAATTATCTAATACCTAAGAAAAGGGGAATGAGATTCCCGAGAATACAAGGTAAAAAAGGTATTGTAGGTAATGTTTCATTACCTCCCAGTGGGAATGTTGTTGAACCAAACGTAGGTATGTGGTTCCGGATAAGATTATTCCTCTTGGTAATGATCTTCTCCTTGATCCAAACGCCCCCTAAAGGGAATGATTTTTTTCCATAATTATTTTCTCATGTTTAGTTCACAGAAAAGATCATTATCAGGTAATAACTTATTACCAATAGTAGTATTTTTTTGTTAAATTGGTGGGAATGTCATTGCCTCCAAATTCTTAGGTAATGAATAATTTCCACCACTTTAGACATAAATTCCCCTTAAATAATAATTTTTTTCATATGAATCCTTCTTAATTTTTATTCTCCGTGTTTTGCTCAAAATTATAAACTTAATAATATATATATATATAAAGAGTTTAATTTAATAAAATATTGATAAATTTGAGTTGTTAAAATTATTTTATATTTTTAATGTTTAGTATATTAATCATTTTATAATTCTATGAGGTGAAAATGTTATCATTGTAAAAAATATATATTTACATAAAATAATATTTAATTTTAAGTTATTAAAAATACATATTATTCATTAAAAGATAATATATTTATCTACTCGATATTACAATATCATTTTACATATTATATTATATTTTATATAAATAAATATGATACTTATGAAGATTATTTAAAAATATAAGTATAAATTTTAAGTTATTAAAAATAGATATTATTCATTAAAAGATAATATATTTATCTACTCGATATTACAATATCATTTTACATATTATATTATATTTTATATAAATAAATATGATACTTATGAAGATTATTTAAAAATATAAGTTTGATATACTGATTATATTAATTATATGTTAAACATATTTTTTTCTTTAAACTTAGATAGTGTAACAATTAAAATATTTTTATAAATTTTCATTCAAATATTTATAATTTAATATTAAAGTTTTACTTGTTAAAAAATATATATCACAAGGATAATTTGGTAAAATATGCATTCAAGTAATCTTATATTTCTCTAACCAAAACATTATAATCATACATTCCTACTAAACAAACCTAGCAGGTAATACAACATTTCAGAGTAATATTACATTCTGATAATCTTATTCTCATAGTACCCTTAGAGTTAATGGCCAACCTAGGATTTTGATAACTACCCTTAGAGTAGTTCATTTTATTTAGGGTGTCTACCCTGAAATTTTATTTGTGTCTATCCTATATGAAAAACTTTTGAAAATTTTTTGAATCTGCCACCGGTTCTTCCCTAATTTTTGAAGATTTGAATTTCAGTTCTTTCTTTATACAAGGTTTTGTTTTAACTTTCTTACTAAAATATACTTTGAAAAAGAATTTTTAAAAGTTAATAAAAATACAACATAAGAATGTTGAATATTATCAATAAATATAAGGTGCAATATAAAGATACATGGTATTCTTAGAGGCACTACAGCAAAATAGAGTTTTAGCGGCGTTTTTTTAGTCCTATAGCGGCGTTTTTAAGTGTCGCTAAAAACACTTGCGGCGATAGGAAAAACGCCGCAAGAAACGCCGGCAATACCAACGTCGCTAAAGTTAGCGGCGTTTGAGAACAAAAAACGCCGCAATAGGTTAAGATCTATCGCGGCGTTTTTGGAACACACGCCGCAAAAGGTTGCTATCTCTAGCGGCGTTTTTGGAACAAACGCTACAAAAGGTCAATATCTATAGCGACGTTTTTGGAACAAACGCCGCAAAAGGTTGATATCTATAGCGGCGTTTTAGGATACAAACGCCGCAAAAGGTAAAATCTATAGCTGCGTTTTTTGAACAAACGCTGCAAAAGGTTGATATCTATAGCGGCATTTTGGAGTAAACGTCGTAAAAGGTCAGATCTATAGCGGCGTTTTTGTAACAAACGCCCCAAAAGGTCAGATCTATAGCGGCGTTTTTGTAACAAACGCCGCAAAAGGTCAGATCTATGGCGGCGTTTTTGGATACAAAAGCCGCAAAATATCAGATCTATAGCGGCATTTTTTGATACAAACGCCGCTAATTACCTTTCTTTAGCTAAGATTATTTGATTTCGCATATTTCATTTCTGCTCTACATCACCTAAATTTAATATCATGTAGCTTTATCTAATTAACAACAACCATACATTTTAATTAAGACACAAGTTATGCAGAAAAATACTTAACAACAAAATAAATTAAAATTTATAAACACTAAAATTAAATGTAATATAGTTTAACATAGTTCTCTAGAATTTAGTCTAAGTTCTTTCACTTTCAATTTAAAAAAATATTGTTCACTAGAATTTTAGGATTGACATTTGTGAGATAAAAACTCTGGATTGTATTGAAAAGCACCACAGATGTTATATCATTTACAATACTCTCTCCGAAAACCATAATGTAAAGTAACGGAGTCTCATCCTGACTAAGCACCTGCACCATCAGACAGAAACAACTCGATTTTAGCAAGTTTAGTATTCTAGTTTCAATTTAGAAAAAAAGCTAGCACAATTTTAATCTATGAATACCTGCAGTGTGCAAACAGAATCTGTTGCAGCAAATATTGCACCAATTGTTGAAAGTCATAGGGAATAATAGTGAACACACTGAAATAAGAACAGAGATTTTTGAAAATAATGGAGCAATAAGAGAGATTACCTAGAAAATCCCCAATATCCAAGGAGCCAATGTCCATTTCCTTGAAGGCGTTAATAGCATAAGCATACAAAGGATAATGACAGCAACAAGAAACCGAAAACATTACGAAACAAGAAAACCATAAGCATACAAAGGAGAACGGCAGCAACAAGAAATGAAAATAAAACATTACGAAAGAACACAATCAGCATTTGACGTGCCTAATTAAAAGTCATAATTCCATATAGGTTCTCTCAAAGTTTCCTTCATAGCAATTTATTATCCGTTAATGTTTTATTCGTGTTATTCCTCTAGTTTGAA